GGTGTTAAAGTCCCCTGTTATCATGGTGTTATACGATATCATATTGCTCAGACTAAGCAAGATCTGTTTCAATAATATGGGAGCATTTAAATTGAGTGCATAAATATTTAGAATTGAAATGTTTTCTAGTTGTATTTTTCCCTTGACCAATATGAAGTGACCATGATTGTCTTTTTTGACTTTAGTTGCTTTAAATCTACATGTATCTGAGAATAAGATTGTAACCCCTCTTTTCTTCTGAATTCTGTTTGCCTGAAAAATTGATTTCCAACTCTGAGTTTTAATTTGTCTTTTGATGTGAGGTGTGTTTCCTGCAGACAGCAAATAGATGGCTTGTGTTTTTTAATCCAATCAGCCAATCTATGTCTCTTCAGGGGGGAATTCAAACCATTGACATTTATTGAGATAATTGTGGTAGCGTTCTATTCATCTTATTTTGTGAAAGTCTGTTGCTTAGTTTTGTCTTTTGCATCATTGTGGAAGCTAGGTTCTGTCCTTTCATTTCTGGGTATTTACTTTGTTGAAGGTCCATTGTGATGGACAGTGTGTAGAACAGGTTGAAATATTTCCTGTAAAGTTGGTCTTATTGTGGCAAATTTCCTCATTGTTTGCATATCAGTACAAGATTTGATTTCTCCATCAATTTTAAAGCTTAGCGGGATATAGAATTCTGAGCTGGAAATTGTTCTGTTTAAGTAGATTAAAGATAGAAGTTTCATTAGAGAAGTCCATGGTCACCCTGATAGATTTGACCCTGTAAGTCAGTTGGCACTTACTCCTGGCAGCTTGCAAAATCTTTTCTTTAGTCTTGACTTTAGATAGATTCATCACAATGTGCCTTGGAGAAGCTCTATTTGAGTTGAGGCAACCAGGGCACCAAGATCCTTCTGAAAGGAGTATGTCAGAATCTTTGCTGATATTTGGGAAATTTTCATTTATAATATTCTCTAGAATGGCTTCCATTCCTCTGGGGCATTCTTCCCCTTCTGGGATACCTATAACTCGTATGTTTGAATGCTTCGTAAAGTCCCATAATTCTGTCAGTGAACGTTCTGCCTTCTCTTTCTTCTTTTCTGCCTCTTTAACTATCTGAGATATCTCAAGAGCTTTATCCTCTACCTCTGAGATTCTTTCTTCTGCATGGTCTAATCTATTGTTGATACTTTCTATTGCATCTTTAAGTTCCCTAATTGACTGCTTCAGTTCCTTCAGCTCTGCTATATCCTTTCTATATTCTTCACATCAGTCATTTCTTATTTGATTCTGTTTTTGGATTTCTTTTTGATTATTTTCCACTTTATCAGGAATTTCCTTCATTGTTTTCCTCATCTGTATTTTAAATTCCCCTTCTGTCATTTCTAACATTTCTTTATAGGTGGACTCCTCTGCTATAGCTACCTCACGGTCCCTTGAAGGGGTTGCTCTGGACTGGTATTTCATGTTGCCAGAATTTTTCTGCTAATTCTTCTTCATGAGTGCTTTCTTGTATCTATTTCCTTGTCCTAATTTTCCTTTCACTTCCTCTTGCTCTTTTTTTTTTTTTTTGACCAGAGCTGGGTTTGAACCCACCACCTCTGGCATATGGGGCCAGCACCCTACTTCTTGAGCCACAGGCACCACCCTCTTGCTTTTTAAGTTACTGTGCCTCGGGCTCAGCGCCTGTGGCTCAAGTGGCTACAGCCTGGGCCCTGCCTGGGCCCGCCAAACAATGACAGCTGCAACCAAAAAATAGCCGGGCGTTGTGGCGGACGCCTGTGGTCCCAGCTACTTGGGAGGCTGAGACAGGAGACTCGCTTGAGCCCAGGAGTTGGAGGTTGCTGTGAGCTGTGAAGCCACGGCACTTTACCCAGGGGGATAGCTTGACGCTGTCTCAAAAAAAAAAAAGTTACTGTGCCTCTGTCCTAAAGTTTTAATGAGTCCTTTTGGTACGGGACCAGAAGGATGAGAAGATTGAAGAGCAAGAAGGGAAAAAAAGATTTAAAAAAAAAAAGAAAAAAGAGAAAGAAGAGGGGGTGAGTAAAAGCAAATATTAACTAAAAGAAGAAAAGCACCGAAAGAAGGAGACAGGAATAATATAGGTGTATAGTAGGGTACTATGACCCAACCTTTGGGGGTGCTGGATTGGGTGGTTCCCTTGAGGTCAACAGCTCTTTGCCAGCCTGATTAGACACAGTACCCCACCTCCACAAGGTAGAGAGGAAAGACAGAAATACTATAAATCAAACTAAAACAAAAACCCTACAAAATTGGGGGAAGGGGACAAATAATAGGGGCAGAAACACTGGCAAAAATGAAAATCTAAGATGGCAAAAATGGAAGATTGCATTTAAACTAGAGTAGTGGGGGAAAAAAAGAGGGAAAAAATAGGAAAATGTCATGGAAAAAATCTTAAAAATTAAAAAATACAAAAACTGGGTGGTGCTTGTGGCTCAAAGGGGTAGGGCGCTGGTCCCATATGCTGGAGGTGGTGGGTTCAAACCCAGCCCTGGCCAAAAACTGCAAAAAAAAACCCCGACAGTATATCTTGCTAAATATTGTCCCAGCAACAGGTAATCTTCTGAGGTATAAGACGCTAATCACAGTGTTAATACAGCTGTATGAGATGGAGACTGGAGGCCTCTGCTGATTTCTCAGACCCCACAGGCTTGGGAGCCCAGATTGTCTCCTCAGCCCACTTAAAAGACACTCCAAATTGTGAACCTTGGCTAAGCAAAAGCTTTCCAAGGAAAGCACTTGTCACTGGGATCTCTCCTGGCATGGCTGCCCACTTATCCAGTACGCAAAACTGGTCTCACTGTATGCCCCTGAGGTCCAAGGCTGTTAATCTGCCAAACACAGATCTCCACTCTTCCCCAGCATCTCAGTCCCTGCCTTTGGGCAGCTCAGTCCCTAGATTTTTCGCCCAAAGTCTCCTAGCTGATCCCTATGTTCCAACCCGCAGGGGCAGCTCCCCTGCAGTAGCTGTGCAAGCAGCCCACAGCTGAACAATACTAGCTTCTTTCCAGCTCAGTGGCTCAGTCCGGGGCCCCAGACAACGCCCAAAGTTGTCTGTACACCTGCCCAAGATCTCCCAAGGCAGTTCAGTCAAGTGCCCAAGTCCAAAAAAACCAAAACAGCCCACAGGTTAAGACTTTTCCTGCATGCAGTCTCACTGTTACTATGGTTACTGCTGTGGGCAGCCTCCAACTGAACAAACGCACCTACCACTTGCCAGTTCACCACCGCTTTTGTCCTCCTCGTGGGGTCCAGAATTCTCTCGCTGACTACCCGTGTCACCAAAGGGAAGTGTCTGGGCAGACCCACCAGCCAGAGATGCCTGGAGTCTTCTCACCCCAATCTTGCTTTGCCCAGTTGCACAGAAGCTGTGATTCAGGCGCCATCTTTTTTGTTTGCTTTGCAGTTTTTGGCTGGGGCCAGGTTTGAACCCACCACCTCTGGTATATGTGGCCTGCGTGCTACTCCTTTGAGCCACAGACACTGCTCTTAGCTGCCATCTTGCTCCTTATCTGATAGTACCTGATGCACAGTTCTTAGATGCTTCTCAGTTTTTTGTTTTTCATTTGTGTTTCAGTTTGAGTAATTTTTATTGGCCTATTTTAATTTCACTGATCCTTTCCTCAGCTGACTTGAGTCTACTAATGAGCATATCAAAGGAATTTATCTCAGTCACAGGAATTCTTCTATACAAATAAAATGAGACTGTTGGGAAACAAAATGTTCTGCTTCAAAAAAAAGAATTCCCTTGAATCTTTCTCTGCCATGGGGCTTCTTCCTTTTTTCTTTTCTTTTTTTTTTTTTGTTTTGTTTTGTTTTTCTGGACAGTCTCAAGCTCTCGCCCTGGGTAGAGTGTTGTGGCATCACAGCTCACAGCAACCTCAAACCCTTGGGCTTAAGCAATTCTCTTGCCTCAGCCTCTCAAGTAGCTGTGATGACAGGTGCCCACCACAATGCCTGGCTATTTTGTTGTTGTTGTTCCAGTTGTCATTGTTGTTTTCAGCTGGCCCAGGCTGGGTTTGAACCTGCCAGCCTTGGCATATATGGCCGGCACCCTACCCACTGAGCTACAGGCACCACCCAAGCCACAGGGCTTCTTATCCTGGAACGTCACTTGAGCATAACAGTTCCTTCATGGAAGTCCCCACAGAGGCCTCATAGGTGAAACACTGAGGAGAGGGCTGGTGTCTTGGGCCCCAGGGGCTCAGATTGGGCCCTACAAGAGGCCATTGCCTGCTCTGGAGCCTGTGGTAGGGAGGCCTGGCTGTTAATGTCTGCTACAGGAGAGGTCCAAGGCCCTGTAGCCCTCATGAAAGAGGGCTAACTCATCCTGTTGACATGTAGGGTCAGCCTCTTCCCTCTCTGCAGGGCGGTTGGGCCAAGTCCACATGCTAAGAGCATATGGAGTCAGCTTTGTGACCCTGTTACCTCCTCTCCCCAGACATGAACTCTTCATGGGAGTGGCATTTGCTAGTTCAGTGGCTCAGGCTACAAGATTTAAAATCCTTGTTTTCTCCCTTCACATCCCCTTGACTTAGTCCTAGAAACATTTCCACCTGGCTTTTCCCACCCTCTGTTGCTGCCACGAAGGCCCTATCTCATGAAACCTAGCAGCAGACCTTCCTCACTTCCCTCCCCACCCCTCCCCCTGCCAGGGCATTCTCTGGATGAGATTACCTTCCACACAGCAGTTACAGCACCCCCATGTACAAGTCTGTTGGCCCCTGGATGGCACCCACCAGCTCCACATGGATTCTGGACACTTGTCCAGGTGAAGACTTGGGGAGGGAGGGGCTCAGGCCATACTGGGCACACTCCTGCTCAGACTTGCACTATCTCCTGGGTCGTAGGTGTGTGACACTGTGTGGTGACCCAGACCCTCTCCAGCCCACACGGCCACATGCACTCAGGGGCTGTGCCTTCATCAGCAAAGGCAGTTTCAGGGTTGCACTTGCTCCTCATTTTCGAGTGCTATTGACCTTTTCATTTTGGTTGTCTTGTTTCAGAATGTAAAATCAAAGGAGAGAAGCAAGATGCAGACTTGAGTCTGAAGCCATTAATTAAAGAGGAATTAACAGCGATTCTGGAGAAGACACGGTTGGGGAAGACTGATCAAGAAAATAACGAAACAGAGCGAAGTTTGTGTCCAAGTCCTAGCCCTGCCTGCCGTGCCCGAGGTCAGGCCTCAGGGCGGCAGGGCACTGCGGGCCGAGAGCGGCCCTACAGGTGCATGGAGTGTGGGAAGGGCTTTGGCCGCAGCTCTCACCTGCTCCAGCATCAGCGCATCCACACTGGGGAAAAGCCCTACGTGTGTGGCGTGTGTGGGAAGGCCTTCAGCCAGAGCTCAGTTCTGAGCAAGCACAGGAGAATCCACACAGGGGAGAAGCCCTATGAGTGTGATGAATGCGGGAAGGCCTTCCGTGTGAGCTCGGACCTCGCACAGCACCACAAGATACACACAGGGGAGAAGCCCCACGAGTGTCTGGAGTGCCGGAAGACCTTCACCCAGCTGTCCCACCTCATCCAGCACCAACGGATCCACACCGGGGAGAGGCCGTACGTGTGCGCGCTGTGCGGGAAGGCCTTCAACCACAGCACGGTGCTGCGGAGCCACCAGCGGGTGCACACGGGGGAGAAGCCCCACGGGTGTCCCGAGTGCGGGAAGACCTTCAGCGTGAAGCGGACGCTGCTGCAGCATCAGAGGGTGCACACGGGCGAACGGCCCTACACGTGTGGCGAGTGCGGAAAGGCCTTCAGTGACCGCTCAGTGCTCATCCAGCACCACAACGTGCACACCGGCGAGAAGCCCTACGAGTGCGGCGCCTGTGGGAAGACCTTCAGTCACCGCTCCACCCTGATGAACCATGAGCGCATCCACACCGAGGAGAAGCCCTATGCCTGCTACGAGTGCGGCAAGGCCTTCGTGCAGCACTCACACTTGATTCAGCATCAGAGGGTGCACACTGGGGAGAAGCCCTATGTGTGCGGTGAGTGCGGACACGCCTTCAGCGCGCGCCGCTCCCTGGTTCAGCACGAGCGCATCCACACTGGTGAGCGGCCCTTTCCATGTGCGCAGTGTGGCAAGGCCTTCAGTCTGAAGGCGACGCTGATCGTTCACCTGCGGACGCACACTGGTGAGCGGCCCTATGAGTGTAGCAGCTGTGGGAAGGCCTTCAGCCAGTACTCCGTGCTTATCCAGCACCAGCGCATCCACACAGGCGAGAAGCCCTACGAGTGCGCGCAGTGCGGCCGTGCCTTCAACCAGCACGGGCACCTGATCCAGCACCAGAAGGTGCACAGCAAGCCCTGACCTGCCCTGGCCAGCTGGCCAGACTGCGGGCGCTGTTCCCATCACCTCTCTGGGCTCCCTCTGCCCTCTGTTGAGTCAGTGTTGCCAAGTAACTCAAAAGAGACGCTTTGGGTGTGTGCTTCCTATGGGGAAACCTCAGAGAATACCTATTTTGTTTTTACTCAGTATCTTGCAGTTATATTGACAAGCAGTTATACAACTGTAGTGAATTTTGGTAAAGACAGCCGTAATTATTTCTTTAACATTACATAGTTTATTTCAAGTGAGTTACTAAGCAAAGTTAAGGCATAAGAACTATTGCTCCAGTAAAACTTTCTTATATTTGAGATAAAATTCTTTTCCTTAGGATACAACATGCCTTTCCTAAATATAATTAACCAGTCTAATTATTGTACTTAAAATTAGAATTTTGGGCTATTTTCAATATTCTGTTAATGCTGAACTAAAGTGCATGAACAAAGTGATGGAAAAAGAGATTGTCATCAAGTACCATCATGTAAAATGGCTGGAAATCCAAAGTGTGTGGAAATATCTGTTATGTATGAAAAAAAATCTAAAGATATATTAGTGAAAAATTATGTAAATTTAGAAGACTTTTCTTTTTTTTTTTTTTTTAGACAGAGCCTCACTCTGTCACCTTCAGTATAGTGCTGTGGTATCATAGCTCACAGCAACCTCAAACTCCCGGGCTCACATGATCCTCCTGCCTCAGCCTCCCAAATAGCTGGGACTATAGGTGCCCTGCTAATTCTCCTATTTTTCTGTTTTTTGAGACAGCGTCTCACTATGTTGCCCTTGGCAGAGTGCCATGGCATCACAGCTTACAGCAACCTCCAACTCTTGGGCTTAAATCAATTCTCTTGCCTCAGCCTCCCAAATAGCTGGGACTATAGGTACCCTGCTAATTCTCCTATTTTTCTGTTTTTTGAGACAGCGTCTCACTATGTTGCCCTCGGCAGAGTGCCATGGCATCACAGCTTACAGCAACCTCCAACTCTTGGGCTTAAATCAATTCTCTTGCCTCAGCCTCCCAAGTAGCTGGGACTATAGGCATGCGCCACAATGCCTGGCCATTTTTTGGCTGCAGTTGTCATTGTTTTTAGCTGGCCTGGGCAGAGTTCAAACCCACCACCCTCAGTGCATGTGGCCAGTACTGTAACCACTATGCTACCGGTGCCCAGCCTAATTCTTCTATTTTTAGTAAAGACAGGATCTGCCTCTTGCTCAGGCTGGTCTTGAACTCCTCAGCTCAAACAATCCTCCTGCCTCACCCTCCCAGAGGGATAGGATTACTACAGGTGTGAGCCACCGCACCAGGCCTTGAACACCCTTTATCTGGTGCTTTAACTTTATTCATTATCTAAAGGAGTGTCTTAACTAATCTTTAGTAAATATTCAACTCAAAAATGGGTAATTTGGCTCAGCGCCTATAGCTCAACCGGCTAAGGCGCCAGCCACATACACCTAAGGTGGTGGGTTCAATCCCCAGCCCGGACCCGCCAAAACAACAATGACGGCTGCAACCAAAAAATAGCCGGGCGTTGTGGCGGGCGCCTGTGGTCCCAGCTACTTGGGA